TTCATTAATAATTCATTATTTTTCAAAAGGTGTGAAAATGACCCAAAATCGATCAAAACCATGGGCTATAGTCCATGCTTTTTGGCCAAAAACACCCATTTTTCGACATTCATTAATAATTCATGTTTTTTTAAAAGGTGTGAAAATGACCCAAAATCGATCAAAACCATGGGCTATAGTCCATGCTTTTAGGCCAAAAACACCCATTTTTCGAGATTCATGCTTTTTCAAAAGGTGTGAAAATGACCTAAAATCGATCAAAAACATGGTCTAGAGTTCATGCTTTTTGGACAATAATACCCTTTTGTTCAATTATCTTCAATAGACGTTATTAAAGCTTTTTTTCTGGGGGGGGGGGGTGGAGTTGGGAACTAGGGAGGGGAGGTCGTTTTGGGCGCATTAGTCATTTCTGCAATTGTTGCAGATCTTAGGGCTCCGCTTTAATAATGCCTTCTATGTTAGGTGGTATGGCTACAGTTCTTTGTTGATGCTGGTTCTCTGTGTTGTTGGGAAGTCTGGTCTTGTTGACATCCTGTAAGAAAGGGAAGGGCGTTAGTATCTCATTCAGAGTCCAGATTCTTCTCTTTACTTTGCCATTAACTTTGCCCGGTGTTACAGCCAATCACAGCATAGACAGACCAACCAATCACAACTAGCTCCAGTGAAGGTCACGTGAGGTGAAGTGAGAATGAATAGGTGGTCTATTGCTAAATTAAAAAAAAAATTTTTTAAATTATTATTATTTATCTCATAGTGGGTCAGAGGATGCTTGTGTGAAAGATTAACTGTTCTCCCCTAGCGACGGTATTTTTTATGGATTCCTGTTATTAATTAGTGTTGATACTGAGCGATCCCCCTTTGGTACCTGTCAATATGTACCCGATGCCCACACCCTGAGTTGTATAAAGAGGATATTAGAGTGCATTCAGTCAAACTGTTGAATAGTGTACGTCACCTAAATTAGATAAGTTAGTTACTATTTTAGGTGACGTCAACTAAATTTGAAACTACGAGTAAACAGCTACTGAGATCAGGGGGAGAAACTATGGTACAAATGAATGTCTATTTACTCATTCTCTGGTAAAACAACCCCCCGGATTAGCATGACCGTTATTTGGCGAGCTTTTACTATTTTAGGTGACGTCAACTAAATAGTTATCTAAGTTAGATACATTTATCTAACTATTCAAAAGTTTGACTGAATGAACTCTACATAGGTGCTCGGAGATATGAATTTTATCTTTGAGTGAGATATGTAAATTGAACATGGGAAAATAAAATTCGTATCTCCAAGCGGCCATGTAATGTTATCTGTTTATTATATAGATATTGATGAAACTTAAATAAAACAAAAGCTCAAAAATTCTTTATTAAAATAGCAAGCTCATTCAACAGCGATATCTTCACGTGTGAAAGATATGGTATCTTCCACTGGTGAAAGATATCAAGTTTTCGACACTAGAGAAAACCTGGTATTTCATCGATATCTATATAATAAAAAACATATATATCCCCATCCCCTGGTAGTACTGATTATGACCTGTCCCTTAAAACAAAAAATGTGTAACTTTTGAATAGAGGTTTTTCACAATGCATCACGTGACGACAGCCATGTTAGATGACAGGACAATACAATCATTTTATATCAAAATAAGAAATCAATTCCCAAGAGAATAAAGTGATTTTCTTGTTTCATCTAATCAAAGGCAGCCCAAGCTGTATGATGGCCGTGAACGCATGATGGCGCAAAACCTCTACAGCAAAGCAAGTGGGCAATAAAGGGAGCAATCACAATCAACATATTGATCCTAGTCTGAACATTTGCAACTCAAAAAATTGCCCAAATAAATTTACTTATATAGTCACCTAGGTGAAAAGGACGCCACATAGGTAAGATTAGGACGCCAAATAAATCACTGTAATGGGATCCTTTCGTCGATCCCTTCCTCTTTCAGTGAAGTTTTTGTTCGAAGACACGTTACCTTACATAATCAAAATTAGGTTGGGTCCCAGTTTGCATTCCGATTACTTACCGACACCTCAACGACTACTTACCGACACCTCTCCGACGACTTGCGGGTTGATGACAGTTTTATGACTGGTCTGCCTGTGGTTACTTTCGATCGATAATAGCCTAGAAACTAATAGAATCCAATATGGCGGACAACGAAGCTTGAAAATCTTTCTTTTAAAGACATTCAACACAATGCAGGTTTCACAGCCAAATAACGTAAAAATCTATAATCTTTCTGCTGGAAAATCATTACCAGAGGTATGTGAGTTGAGTTGAAACTTGAACATATCTTTGTCTTGACACTTATTTCGAAGTCAGCAGAATTAAATTCAAGCTTAACTTTGTTTAACTTTGACTGCTTTAACTTTGACTGTTCCAGTGGCTTTCAGAACGAAAAAGAAGAACGCTACAGAAGAATGATATCGGTAAGCTACACAAAGACATTCTTTACGAACCACAAAACAATGAATACGGCTGCTTCTTTGTGCATTTGTCGCGTGTTTTCTGTTGTAAATAAACGCAAACATTCTCACGTGCTGATATGTTTGCACGTGGTCACGAAGTCTTATCGAGAAAAATAAAAATAAAAAAGGCTTCAAGTGCAGTTATCTTAATTGAAATATTATTAAAGTGAATGCTATTAAATAACACGCATATAAAAGAGAATTACTCCTGAACTTTTTACATTATATATAAACTTATACTTGATAATACACATGAAGTTGTAGCGGCCATGTTGGATGATTTCCGATTTGTCGTGCGCATCGACATGTCGGCCACGTCTTAAATAATCATCAATGTATTTTATGTAAGAGTTGAATTCTTTTAGCCATTAATGAAATTCCAATACCTTAACTTTTAAAAAGTGACATATTTAAGTTAAGTTACTTATTTTACCCATTTACAGTCAAAGTAAAACCAAAACAAAAAATGGAAAATTACTATTTTCTCTTTTGCCAAGTAAAATCCCTCTAATAATAGTCCCCTTCACCCCTTCACAGTTCTTGAAAGTTAACCATGCCTGTGCATTTGAAGTGGGAACAGCAGTGATAGAGACGTATAAATAATCATCCAAGGTGTTAAAAAAGGTCTCTAACATTGCAAGGTCACGGCCATCCTCGCTTCAATGGATAGGCAGAGTTACCTTTGAAGATGGCATAAGGAACTGTGAAATAAACTATTCTTTCTTATGTCTAAAATCCTGCTATTTTGAACATTCTACAGATATTCGTAGACGTATTGAACTCATCCAAGAGTTTGAGATGCCAACAGCTTCTACCAACATACAGGTTTCTTCAGACAAGGAGTATATCATGGCTACTGGTAAAATAATCTATTGACTAACAATCAATAAACAATAAACAAATATCGTTTCAAGATTCAAAGGAACAAGGATTTATCTGTGGTTGTTTGGCTTTGTTTAGTAGTAGAGTATATGTGCTCCTTGCATATAATACATATCTGTTTTTCCTCCGACTCTTTAAAAAACTGAAAAGTTTTTATCGTTCTTGCCCTCTATAACCTGATCTAAGTCAAAACTGCAGTGGTAAACCCATATGCTTTTGTCTTCAAACAGGAGTTTACAAACCCAGAGTTAGATGCTTTGAGACAAGTCAATTATCAATGAAATTTGAAAGATGTTTAGATTCTGATGGTGAGTACAAGATACAAAATCCCTGCTTAACAAACTGATGATGATGATGATACATGATGATGACGATGATAATGATGATACATGATGATGGTGATGATGATGATGACGATGATGATGATACATGATGACGATGATAATGATGATACATGATGATGATGATGATACATGATGATGACGATGATAATGATGATACATGATGATGATGATGATAATRCATGATGATGATGATAATATATGATGATGATGATACATGATGATGATGATGTAACCAATAAGAGTGCTAATTTTCATTATCTTTTTTCAGTTGTCAAGTTTTGTATTTTATCAGAGGATTATTCCAAGGTAATAGAGCTCAAACATTATTTACAGTATGTCACTATTTAGTGCTATAAAATGACAGTGGTGAAACAATAGAAGAAAATAGACATTGCACTATTTAGTACTTTTCAGTGCTAAATAAACTTAGTACTGTTTCACAGTTCAAGAATTTGAGCATTCTATCATTATATATTTTAGTATTCTACTTATTCTGATACTTCCATACCTGCATGTTTACATTTTTCATATACTAAATGAGCCATCGCTTTCCTTTTAGATGGTTTTCTTACAGTCTGACAGATATGTGGAGTTTCATGTACAGGTACCTCTTATTATTGCTGCACTACCTAGCAATCAAACCAAGAAGAGCCACAAATGGACCATTTTAAAGAATGTTTCGCAGCCCCTCAGGGGAGTGTCGGTGTTAAATGGCTCCAAGATTTCTCATTAGCGTCCATTGTTAACAGTAGCAAGATGGCTGACATGTTTTTGTCTTTTAACTGCTCTTGGGAATGCTTGAAACCCATCAATAGATCAGGAAATATATTGTTTCAAAAGTACAAGCAAACTACTGTAGTAGAGCATACTGTAAAAGGATATAATCAAAGCCAATTTTATTGAATCCTGACATAATCTCTGGGCTGATCTGTCCAGACATAGCTAACTCACTGATTGAATTGTTTTTATGCCCAAGGATGAAGAGGGCTATTTGTTTGCAAATTTGTAAGAATAACATCCAAGGGTTTTAATGAGTCGACTACCCCATCATCCATACATGTAGTTTAAAAGATTTTCAAAATCTAATATTAATCAAGATAGTACTTGGGCTTTTTACCGTACTTGGTTATAATCATATTATAATTATGTTGATGTCACCTACAGTATGGCAGGTATTACAGAACAAGAATACCCAGGTTTGGTCGGGATTTGACTTATCACAAGCCATCATGTGACTTGTACTTGGTTGGTGCTGGGTGAGTGTAAAATGCCTGCTTGAAAGTAAAAAATATTAATTATAGATGGTAGGCTTTAAAGCTATAATCTTATAATCTCCTTACTACATTCAATATTCTATACACACAACTCTCAACTTACGTGTTTATACCAGAGAACCTGGACAAAAACCCTTGTGTTAAGGGAGAGAACGACACATCAAACAAATCAATTTATTTGTGGTGTCTGTGGGGCTCAAACTAGCGACCTGACCCATTTGACTCACAGTGGTGAAGGACGGCACCACCCATGCCACCCACAAAGTAATGAAAGTAATGAATTGGTTGTATGAAGCCAAGATCATTGACGTCCTTATATAACTTATCTGATGTTTGTCAATACAGGCCAGAGATATACAGACTGAATCTTGACCAGGGGAAGTTCCTTAATCCTCTAAAAACTGATGCAGCGTAAGTTAGCTGTTGTTATCGTTGTTGATGCTATAGTTTGTGATGGAGTACACCAATTATTTGATACTAATTTTACTTTCTCTATTTTCAGAGGAATAAATGTTTGTGATATGAACCCAGTACACCAATTATTTGCTGCTGGAACAACAGAGGTATGAGATATCAAGTCAAGGTCAATCTTTGTTATGGACGACATAAGGTCCGTCTTAAATCTCATGGCTAAACAAAGTCAGAGCCAGCTAACTTGAAAATTGAATTTGAATTTGGTGTGTTGGGTTTTGCAGAGGGAGGAAAACTGGACAACCCAGAGAAATACCCTTGATTCAAGGGAGAGAACTAACAAACTCTACTCACATGTGACCTGCTGAGTCCAGGAATCAAACCTAAGACTCCGGAGGTGAGGGGTAAATGTACTGCTGCTACTCCACCCTTGATTGGCTGAACATCCCTGCTTCCACTTGTCAACTGCAGACAGCAAAACGGATTCCAATTGTTTGATTTTACAGGGTCGTGTTGAGTGCTGGGACCCTCGATCTCGGTCCAGAGTGGGTGTTCTAGATGTTGGCTTGAGTGGAATCACACAAGACAGGTAAATATGTGTACTGCGTACTGCATACAGGCACTAAAGTGATGACAATTAAACATGAAATATATATTACTGTAGTCTCTGACTGATAGATGTCATTACTAAGACTAAAAGACCTCTTTAGTTTGGGCATAAAGTTTTCCCAATTAATTAAGACCACATTTCATATTTTCCTAGAGTATCATTTCTTTGTTTTAGGGTTGCACATGAGAAGACGCATGAATATGGATCCATATTCATGTGTCTTCTCATGACTTGTGCAACATCTCAATATTTGTGCCAAAACAATTATGTTCACTTTGGATATTGACATAATGTTAATGATATTATGTTAAAAGGTCTGATTACATACCGTCTGTAACGGCACTTAAATATCGTGACGGATTGACAATGGGTGTTGGCACGGCAACAGGTCATGTAAGTACTACATCCTATTATTATTACACCATATCTGTTAATCAGCGTCACCTCATACTGTGTCAGCATGGTACCACATTACATTAGCTGCAGATGGCATTGTATCAATTTTTCAAAAATTATATTAGAGAAATATTTTTTTATATATTTGAAATATTAATACAAGAATCCATGCAAACAATTTCAAGATATCATTTGCTTTTTTTGAAATATCTCTTTTTTATTGCATGAGGAATGTTATTCAGTCTAACGTTACTTTCAACGACATGTTTCATCATTTGTGCATATGTGTTGCTGTAGGTTTTGTTGTATGATCTTCGCTCCAGTCATCCATTACTTGTCAAGGACCACCAGTATGGGCTGCCTATCAATAGTTTGTCATTCCAAGATAAGCTGGGCGTGGTGTTGTCTACAGATTCCAAGATACTCAAGATATGGGACAGAGAAACGGTAGGGATAACATATCACACACAACCAGAAGATGTAAATTTGTTGTTGTTGTTGAAGACTGGTTGATATGTAATGCAATGAAAGTGATGATGCATGATGATAATGCGTAACTGTAATGAAGGTTAATGATGCTGTTGCATTGATGATGATGGTGTTCAAAATGCTGATTGAGGCTGGTAATGATGAAGGCTGCGATGATGATGATTGGTGGTGATCATGGTTATGATAAGTATATTGATCAGGATAATAACTTATGATACTGAGAAAAATGGTAATGTTGGTGATGATGATGATGATGGTGATTATAATGATGATTATTATAACAATGATATAAACACTTGCACAATGATGGTGATGATTATGATGCACAATGATAATGACTGACAACTAATGTTGATGATGTTGGTAATGATGCAATCATCACTGTCAAATGGTGATGATGATGAAAGAGAAAAATAATAGTGATGATGATGGTAATGATGGTGATGATGGTCATGGTCATGATGATGATGATGATGGTGCTGATGGTCATGGTGATGATGGTGATAATGATGGTGATGATTATGGTGATAAAAATTATGTAATAATTTTTTATATATTTGATTGTTTAGGGTAAACCTTTTACATCCATTGAACCTCAAACCAACATCAATGACCTGTGCGTGTTCCCTGATTCTGGTAAGCACAACATACCCGCTGTCCTCTTTGTTGGATTACCCAAGAATAACCACATGTACACCTATGAACAACTGTCTGATTCTTTTGTAGGTCTTCTGTTCATGGCAACTGAGGCTCCAAAGATGCTTGTCTACTATATACCAGTAAGTATTTTTAAATACTTACAGTAACATGTTAAAACATGTTACTGGCCTTTTCTGAGTTCGATAAACAGGATGCATTATGGTCTAGCTTGGGTATAAACATCACCATATAAGACATGATGAACAAAATATATTTGTACCCAAACTAGACCACAATACACCATGTTTGCGATCGCTATCTCAGGAAAGGCTCTTAATTAAGAATGGTTTTTACTTTCATCAGAATCGGAGTTGGAATTAAGAGACTTGARCAAGTGAAAACTGCTCGACATAAGAGTAAGCGCAAGCCAAGAAAAAGGACACCTTCCTATTCAAATTATGACTCATTTTTCTGACTTCCATGTCATTATGAACTGCTTTGACTCTGGTTTCGACCCAGACTTCAATTCTATTGCTAGTGAGAACTAGCCCTCAGGGATTACCTTCTGCTATCATACACAACCCAGATAAAATTCCTTTGGTTTCGTTTTCTTTAGTCTTTAGGCCCAGCACCTCGATGGTGCTCATTCCTGGACAACCTGACCGAAGAACTGGAAGAAGATCAACAACCTACTGGTAAGGGAGGGGAGGGGTGGGGATATTTAGTCCTCACTCAAGTCCCTAGTTTTCCACTTGTTTCTCTCAATGCTAATCCATTTTTTATCTTTTTTCTTTTCCAGTTTACGATGATTACAAATTTGTCACAAAAGATGACTTGGAGAAACTTGGTAAGCAAACAGCAAAATTTATATTCTCAGTATAATGGAATGTCGACAAGTTGATCAGTATTATTTCTTTATCTTGTCTTAAATTTCTTTTTTTGTATTACTTGCAGGACTGAATCATTTGATAGGAACCAATCTTCTAAGGGCTTACATGCATGGCTATTTTATGGACATTAGGCTGTATCAAAAGGTGACTGTCTGTCTGTCCATCTTGGACATTAGCATTTTTAGTTGCCTTTCTTTTTGGTAATCTGTATTTTTGCCTTTCTGTCAGTGTGTCTGCACATCTGTCCGTCCATCTGTCCTCTTTCCATCTGTGTATCTGTCCATCTGTCTGTCTGTCCATATATCCTCTCTCCGTCCATCTGTCCTCTCTCCCCGCCCTCCATCTGTACTCTGTGCGTCTGTCTGTCCTCTTACCATATGTCTACCCATCTGTGTGTCTGTATGTTCATCCACTGGTCCGTCCATTAGTCTCTCTCTGTTGATCTCTTTCTGTCTGTTTTGCCTTTCAGTTTCATGAAAATCAACAACACGCAATACTATGCATGACAAAACAAACATTCAAAATTCCATGTTTCTCAAAATATTTAAAACTCTTTGTAACTATTTTCATTCTTAGGCAAAGACCATTGCAGAACCATTCGCATTCGAAGAATATCGCAAGAAAAAAATACAGGAAAAAATAGACGAAGAACGTGAAAACCGAGTTCGCATCAAGGTACCTTCCCTGGCCTGCTAGCAGGGACTATTTTGTTTTGCTGGCTGAGGGAGAGTTAGAGAAGGCAGAGAAAGAGGGGACTCTGCTTGAAGGGTATCAAGTACCAGACTTAAAATTAATAGAATATGGGCTTCTTTGTCTTTCAGAAACTTCCCAGAATTAATAGAGCACTCGCTGAGAAACTCTTAGAAGAAAAGCCAAAGAAAGACAAGAAATTAGATGAAAAGGTAAAATTCGCTTCAATCCGACAGCATTCTTTTATCGTGCCCAGCTTCCGCTCTACCAGGGGTGTTTCCCTGTATATTCAAAGCTTAAATATAATATAACTGACCTGTGTTTGACTTCAGGGACCAGATGTCAGCAATCCACTGGGTGATGATCGATTTGCTGCAATGTTTAAGAATCCAGACTTCCAAGTCGACCAAGAAAGCGAGGTGAAAAAAACACAAGAAACTTCAAAACAATATTTGCGATTCTCCAGCACTTCTCCTCGCTCGCAGTTTAGAATTCTTCCCACAGTTTTTATTCTACGCCCAAACGTTCTCATAGACCTTTTCTGAGATAGCGAACATGGTGCATTGGGGTCTAGCTTCGGTACAAAATCCTTTGTTCATCATGCAGGAAATTATTTTTTGCGGATACGAAAATGTTTGCGTCCACACGCAGCGTATTTGAATCGTTTTCACCGTCCACACGTATCCGTTTTCGTAAAATTTGAGGATACGGATACAAAAATTTGCGGGCACGTGTGGACGCAACCCGTATCCGCAAAAAAAAATTTCCGGGTACGTGTGGACGGGGCCTTACATGGTGTTGTTTGTACCCAAGCTAGACCAGAATGCGTTTATGGAGCTATTTAGATCTATTATATTATCATGAAAAAGATTCTATCTTACTTCCATTTTTCTTGGTATTTTAGGAGTTCAAATTGCTCCACCCTGTCATGTCAAAACACGATAAAAGAAAAAGCAAAAAAAGCAAACAACTCGAAGACAAAAAACAACAGCAACTTTTGTCGCAGTTCGATGAAGTCGAGGTGAGTAATTCATAATTTGTTCCGCATTTTCATGCATAAATCCTTTTAAGAAGTCCAAAACGATTTATTGCGAAAACGGTGCAACAGCTGCGCGCAACGTTACCGGCGACAGAGTTGTACATGTATGTTATACGTAGAAACTTTTCCTCGAACAAGACGCATCTAAGGATTTCTGGTCAAGGGTATGAGGGAACGCTGCTTTTCATTGGATGAGAACTTCATGCGATTGCCGACTGAAACATTGAAGGTCGTGTTTACACGATGAATCTTTTTGCGCAAAAATTCAAAATGTATATCTCAATTGCAGTTCAGCGACTTTCCGTGCGCAAATGCGCGTGACTCTTGCGGAGCTAATTGGACACATTTAGATCTAATCTAAACAAGTTAGCCTCACAGAGATCGAAAATAATTGAAATCTAGAAAATTTCTTCAAAACGCAAGCTAAACGCTGGTGCTTTGGTTAATTTCTGTTTACTTTTGACTATCTGACATAGGAGCTCGAAGGAAGACCCAGCTCAGAGGAATCTAGTTCAGATGATGAGCACACGTGGAGGGAAGAACAGCGCAAGGAGTTAAAGAAAAACACCAAGAAATCGTCCACCACCAAACAACCCAAGTTCTACGAATTTAAACAAGCTGCGGAATACAAATCTATGCATTCTGTGGTCTCCTCTACGAACTCGCTTCAAAACAGGTGATTGTGGAGTACGGTGGTACCTCYATTAGGCGGACATCCTTGGCTGGTGCCAGTTGAATAGAGGGTGTCCGCTGAATAGAGGTTTTTTAAATATTAAATATGGGTTGAATATTTCATGGCAGTGTAATAAGGGTGTCCACTTCATTGAGGTATCACTATATATTAACTGCGTTTGTCTATTTCATTTTCTTGCAAAAAATGAGCTTTTGAAAGAGATTTCGAAAATGTCAGTAAAGAGAGGCGTTAGAGCGCATTTAAGGTTTCAAATATCAAGAACAAAATCAGAAACCAAAACGTATTTTTAGACTATCGTGCCACAGGCAACCCAGTAATAGTTTTGTTTGTTTACAGAGTGTCGTTGGGTGATCGTTTGAGAAAGGAAAACAACAGTAAAATAATCAAGACTACCGGGTCTTCTGTAGGTGAAATGGAGATGACTTTCTCATTGAAAAAGGTACGATCCCCTGGTAAAAAACTTGTGAAAACACGAAAATAATTTGGACTTGGTCGAATAATAAAACGATTATCGAACTCGGCTTTCGACTCCCAGACTGATATCGTTTTGTTTTCATGTCTACAGGATGTGGAAGAGACCAAACGACAAAAGGAACGCAAAGAACATCGCGAAGAAAGGAAAAAAGTACGCCGTTCGGCGGGTAATCTGATGGCTGGAGAAAAGAAAAAGCCGGTGTTCTGGAGAGGAAAGAGAGTCAAATAGTATGGATTGCGTCCTTTCTTAGAATCAATGATACCTTGAAGGTCCTTGGCTCCAAGTCATTAATAATGGAAAAAAACTTTTTTGCTGGCGCAGAAAAGACTCGGACAGCCAGAATTCTGGTCAGGATAGATAGATGATGGAAAACCTGGCTTCGCTGGAAAAATGGATATCGGAATGGAGACGATAAATGTCAAGCTTCTACGTGGAAACGTTCCCAAAAATTAAACAATTGATCTTAAACTTGAATTATTATCAAACGAATAAAATCTCATGAATTTAAATAGGAAAATAATTTTCTAACGAAGTTCAGTTTTCTTTGGACGTGTATTTTACATAATTTTCTAATTTACAGGAACTAGTTAAAATAGGTTAACCAACACTACATGCGTCTAACAAGACGACAGAATCAGTGTCATGCCGTAATGCGTTACAAGTAGATTTTGTGAAAGTCATTGTTACCGAATGTTGCGTTACATTTAGGGCACTTGCGTTGTCGGGTGTCGTAACGAGTTTTTAGACATTCATAGCAGAAGACATGAAAACATTTGGTAAGAATGGCGTCTTTCTTGCGAGTATTACAGCACGGACATGTCAGGCGAGCCTGAAAAAGATGGGAGTATGCTTAGACTAGAAAAATCAATAGTCCAAATCAGTTGGTTCAGTCAATCGGTCGTTCAGTCAATCAGTTGGTCCGTCAGTCAGGTTAGTCCAAATCAGTTGATTCAGTCAGTCGGTCGATCAGGTCGGGTTAAGTCAGTCGGTCGGTCGGTTAGTCAGGTCAGGTCAAGTCAGTCGGTTGGTCAGTAAATCAGTTGATCGGTCAGTCAAGTTAGGCCAAATCAGTTGGTTCAGTGGGTCGGTCGGTCGGTCACTCAGTCAGGTCAGGTCAAGTCGATCGGTCAGTCTTCCTACCTTGTACTGTCGAACTTCTTCAAGTAAAACCTCGTCTGCTGCTCCATACAGGTCGATTTTCTTCTGTTTTTCAATTTTACGCTTCAAGCTGTTACATTCTTCCTGAAAAGTGAAAAGAAAACTACCGATGTAAAATCCGAAGATGCCATATGACCGTCGTAGTACAACTGCAAAAACTTTTGAAGGTGAGGGTAGAATGGGAAAAAAATTCGTGGTCTCTGGGAAAGGGGATATTTTGCTTTTCTCATCCTTTTCCTTTCCACTTCCTCACCAAGGCAAACTAAAAACGCATGACACTTCAAGAGCTCGCTACGTGGAAAGTTTTGATTTCTACAGTTGGTGTGCGAGTTTTTATTTTAATTTTCTGTTACCTGTACTCTCTTGGCTCTAAAGGCTTCTTCCTCTAGTGATCGGGTCTTTTCTGCAATACTTTCTTGAGTCTAGAAAGACGGAATGAAACGAGGTGAAATATATTATTAAGCGTTCTTCAAGTGGGTCACTTTCGCGTTGAAATCAATGTTCCTTGAAGAACCTATGTGCACAAAATTATACTGCAAGATCGTTCATAAAGAAGGCTGTTTACATGAAGTTACATGTAGGGTGTCCCTGGTGATATTGGCACTTGTTTAATCTTTAAGAAGACAACAAACACTTTATTCGTGGTGTGACAATGTTTTCCCAATTCAGCGTGACAAACCTCCAGAAGATTCATTTTCTTTTGTTTTTACTCTTCGAAAAATTCATGAGTATCACAAAGGATACGAAAGGAATAACGATGATATCCCGACGAGTTGCAAAACAATAGCTCGTCATTCCCCCAGAGGTTTGTTACGTTCAATTGGGAAAACATTGTCACACCACGAATAAGGTCTTTTCGCCCTAGCAGTATGGTCCACTAATTATCGTGTGTACTAGTAAGCAGCCCCTAGAGGAGGATAATAGACCCCTTGTATGTGACGTCAAAGCTGCTCGTTCTGGGGGACAAAACAAGAGAATTCCAATCTCCTGAGAATTGGAACCTATTGTTTTGTCCCCCTTGAGCACATTGCAAAGTGATGTAAGTGGTCTATGCTGCAAGTGAAGTTTACCTCTTGTTGTTGTTGTTGGAATGCTTCCAGTCGAATTTTGAGCTCCTGCGCTGACTGACAATTGTCTTGGGCCTGTTGATCAGAACATGGTTTAGTTGGAATTATAACCCTTTCCTGAGTGCGACCGTGGTGCATTTTGGTCTAGCTTGGGTACGCTCCCTGCCAAATAGAGGGACTGCTCGCAGTCTAATTCCACACCATTGAAAATAAAACCAGAAAAGTTAATTTATACTCGGCGGTGTTCCACTGTTTCTTCCCATCGGACATTGCAGCCTAGGTATTTTCAATGTCATATAAAATTTTAAGTATGATACCCGTTAGATATTCCATAGTGTACAACTAAATATCATAGTATAACAAGTAAGTTTGTCCAGGATGCATCCTAATGCCTATGTTATTCAAAAACAGCAAACTACGACCTGACTTTCAGTTACCTTTCTTTTATGCATTTCCATTGCTTGTTGTCTAAGGCTGAGCTCCTTCTCCATGGACCCCTAAAAAGCCAGTGAAGAACAATATATAGATTAATATTCATTATTAAGGAGTTATAGGATAAATTGTTGGATTTAGAGTGTTGTGCTCTTCTCTCTCTTGACACGAGGATTTTCTCCAAGTTCTCAGGTTTTCCTCCTATTTCAAATATTAACAAGTCATTTGAAGGTGTGTGGTATACTAAACATTAGAGCATTTTTCGTGTGACTTACAGCACGAACACGGTCGTGACACGGCAAGGCATACGCCAGAGCAATCACATTGCACAAGAATTTACTCTGCATTCAATCAAATACCCGGAACACGGCACAAACACGGCGGTCACGCCAAGGTCACGGCACTGCCACATTGCACGAGAATCAATCAAAATTCTAGAAAACATGACGGTCACGGCACGGCACGCTTACAGCACTGAGCTTTACACAGTCATACGAAAACAGATTTACATAGCCTCTGCATCAGGAGCCTTGACAACCGCTCCCCGTATTATGTGCGACAAACAAATGAAGATTTATCTAAGTATTCTACATACCACAGCATTCTGTAAAGATCTCTCTCTTTCTTCTTGTTTCTTAATCAGTTGTGTTTGGGTTTCGAGGTAAGTATTCAACGATGTCACCTGATCAGCCAGCACATCTTTCTCCTCACGAATCTGTTTCTGTATCTGGTTGCTTTTGATGCGCTGCATTACAAAAAAAAACAAAACAAAAAAACAAAAACAAAAAAAAACAACAGAATATTTAATTGTCTTTTTTACGAGGGTAGGAAAACTGTATAACTCGAGAAACAAACCTCGGACATTAACTTTAGATTAGCTTCATCTTTTTCTCTGAGTTGTTGCAAGAGCCGCACATTCTGTTCTTGCATTTCTACGTATTCTTGACCAGTAAACTCCATCTCTGCTAACAACGCGTCTTCCTCCTGTAAAGTGATTGATTACAAAATAATTTCAAAAACGATTGGTATCCCTTTGGTAATGTACTCCGAGAGGGAACTGAGGATAGAGAACATTACGATACATTCTTGGAGTGCACGTTATGTCATCGCAGCCTCTCGGGGGAGCGTTGGTGCCATTTAGCAAAAGATTTCTTATTCACCATTTTCCATAAATCGGTTCACTGGTCAAACACAAAGCGCTCAAGCGAGGCGCCAAGGTACTTTCAAAGGATTATTCAAATTTGAACCTTGCAACCTCGACTGAATGCTTTGTGTTTGACCAGTGAACCGATGTATGGAAAATAGTGAATTAGCATCCATTGTTAAGGGCACCACAATGGCCACCATGTTTTTGTGTTTTAACTCTCTTGGGGATGCTTGCAACCATCAATTGATGTAAAACTATGAAAACCAACCTGTTTGGTAGCAGCGAGGTTCTTCTGTAGGTTTTCTATAGTTTCTTCTGCCACTTTTAGCCTTCTTATTGCCTCTTCATCTGCCATGGCACCTTTGTACTTCTCGAGGTCTTGTTCCAATTCTTTTACTCTGTTCTTTAATGCTTCTATCTCTATTTTTAGCGTCTTTTCGCTAGCTAAAAGCTAAATCAGGGCAGGAAAACGAGCATAAGATTGATTCTAGACTTTGTGAAGCCTTATTCTTAGCAGGGTACATCACAATATTTGTCTGAAACCTAATAATAATAACAATAATAATAATCAACTTTGTTTATAGAGGATAACACTTGACAGTAATTCAACTGATAAACTTTTGGTCCTCTGTTAACATCTCTAGTAAGTTATGGACGGGACCGCCATTAACGTGATCATCCAAGCCCCGTGAAGGTCTAACCACTTGCAGATGTAATTACAAAGGCAGCACCTTCTCAGTTATTATAAGACCCTGAGTGTTGGTCTGGCCGAGGCTTGAACCACGACCTCCCGCACGAGCTAGCCGGGTGGCTGACGTTATTCAAGAAACTGAAGAAAGGAACTGGAGAAATGGACCATATTGGTTGATATAAGATCTAAACTAGTCGTTGCAATATGCAAGTGGAATGATGCGAGTGCCATACAATGATGTAAGGGATGTATACCAATGTTAATAAGATATAAGTTACATACAACAAAATATCCAAAACCGTCTAGATATAGTAACAAGGACGAACGTAGGCCATCACTTATGTGTGAGCTCCTGTATACTTATATGAATATGCTCCTGTAGATGTTTTGAGGTATTAAGGTGTAACAGGGTCCCCTATACCCCCTCGCAAAATGCATTCACGTAAATTTATTTGGCCAATTTCAGCCTCACGTAAAATTCTGAAATCACAACCCCATTCATGCAAAAATCGAAGTCAAAACGTTTCACGTAAACATGAGGAGCTTTGGTTAAAAAAGTTTAAGTTTTGATTGACACAAAGTAGTTTCATGTTCCGTTTAGCGACACCTTCAAGGTATCGCAGTCAAAAATTGTATACACTATAGTAGTTTTATGTTTCATGTTGTTTTTGTTTTATCAAGCATTCGACTGTGTGACTATAGTAGACTAACGACTCTACGATGAGCCTAAATGAAATCATATCATAGCAGAAAATTCTAATCAATAGTCGGATTTTGCATATTTTGTTAACGATTAGAAAGCGTACAACGAAAATTATTTCTTTATTCCTTCACACATTTACCTCTGGTACGGTTAGGTATTTCACGTAACGATCTCCTAACGGTTAGGTATTTTACGTAACGATCTCCTAACGGTTAGGTATTTCAAGGTACGATCTCCTAAC